TTCAAGATCTCAAGCATGGAGATCAAGGGCTACATAAGAGGTATGTTTTCTTACTTATGTTTTAGTTTTATAGTGTTGATGTAATTAGCATGAAGCCATAGATCCATAGGATGCATGTACACTTAGGTATATCGTTGTTTTGATTTTTCCGCTGCCTAGTTTTAGAGTGTATTTGATGCGTAGAAAACCCAACAGTTGGTTCCAGGTTTTTAAACTGATGAGGAGTTTCTTGACGTGGAGGAGATTGATGTTGATCATGTTGTTGTGGGGGATCTTGTTGCGGTGGAGTTTGATATTGAGATTGCACCGGAGTTGGTTGTTTAGGAGATGGTTGCGGTGAAGGTTGTGGAGTTGGAATCGTTTGATGAATTGGTTGATGAAGTGGAATCAATGGAGGAGTTTGATGTGAATGGCCTTGATGTTGAACCTGAAAGGACTCACTTCCCCCTTTTGAGGAAACATCCATTTGTTGTTCCTCAAACCATTGTTTTAGGCCATCAATTTTTGAGAAGGTTTCGGTGAATTGGGACTTGATTAACTCAGAGACTTGGAGATTATCTGGAATTTCAGTGTTGAAAAGAAGTTTATAAATCTCCTTGGTCAATCGGAGGATTTCATCAACACTGGAGTTTGCTGTAAGAGAACGCCTTAATCCTTTGATTGTTGATTGAAGAACCACAATGGAGGACTCATAGGCGTTGTGAGTTTCTTCTACCAGTTGTTTGGAATGAGCTGCTTGTTTCTCCAAGGTAGACTTGATCTCATCTTTTAAGGTCGTTATCTCGTTGACGAATTTTTCAGCAGATGCAAAAAACTCCTTATAATCAGCAGTTCGACTATTATCCAAAGCTCGAATACCCATTTCAACTTTAAGAGATATGCGTTCTGCGGCCAGTCGTTCTCTTGTTGCAAGCATTTCTACCCTTTTAGCAAGTGATTGCGGTGTATCTTTTGCATGGTGTGCATTATGTGGTTGTGGTGGATGGTGAGGATTTCGGGGATATCTTGAGTGGTTGTTTTGAGGATTGAAATTTCGGTTGAAAGGTGGTTTTGTAAACTGCTGATTTTTACGAAATGATGATGGTGATAGCCTGTTGAATTGTTGGCTAACCAAGGCGATGACATTTTGAAATTCTTCTTCATCATCGTATTCCGCATTGCTTCATATGACTGCGGTGGGTTGTCAAACGGAAGTTGATAGGATGATTATATGGGATAGGAATATTGTGGGTTTTTGGCATATGGGGTTTGAGCAATCAGGGCAAGAGGTCCACCGAGGTCAGCACAATCTTTTAGCACAATTGATTCTTGTGCCTGAAGTTCTCCATATAACTTGAACAGAGACAAAGTATGGATTTTCCTATCTCCTTGCACAATCATCTTTGCGGTAGACCATTGTCTTCCCAAACCGTTGAGAAACTGTAGGTTTGTTTCTTGATTGCTTCTGGCAGTACCTGCATTTGATAACTTCGTGATGACGAGGTTGAACCGTTTGAAAGAGTCCTCGAGACTTTTACCAGGAAGAGCTTTGAAATTGTTAAACTCGTTTAGTGACGTGGTGAGTTTCTTGTCTTGTGCTTGTTCTGACCCTTGATAGAGATTTTTTAGCACATCCCAGATTTCTTTCACTGATTTGCAGTTGATGATAATATCAAAGTTGACTGGAGCCACACCGCAAGAGATTTCATAGAAGGCAATGGCATCATTTTCCATTTTGTCTAGATCATCTTTTGTTGGTCGATTCATTGCGGGTTGACCTCCACCTAGTCTGGCTTGTGTTCCATCTGGTTGAACAGGAGTAAGAATTGGAACATGGGGTCCCTCTTCAACAGATCTGCAAATATCTCTTCCGAGGCTCTTGAGATACCTTTCCATTCTTTTTGACCAATGGTGGTACTCACTAGCAACAAGTATTGGTGCTCTATTCGAGCCTCCAACACTGTTGGAAACATTCAATGATAAAGCCTGTGCCATATTTCCTTTGTTTTGTTTTTTCAATGAGCTTTAGTGGTATAGAAGGCCTTTCAAAATCAGAGTTTTGTTTAAAAAGCAACCACTTTGGCTCTGATACCAATTGTCGAGAGAAAAACTTTTGAGAAACACTTGAACAAATGTTAGAATAAGATAATAGTTGTGAAATAAGTTAATCTCAAAGGATCATATTAGCTCAACAATAATAAGTTTGAATTTTTAGATAGTTAGTTGTGGAAATATAAATTGCGAAAATGTAAATAACAGCAAGTTATATCAAGTAAACATCAAACTGATTCTTAACACGATTTGCAATCAAACACGAGTTAGTAAGTGCGATCAGTTTAAGATGAAGAGGATCTCTGATATTAGATAAGATAGAGAAATGAGAGAATGATCTTTGAATTTCAGTGAAAGTTCAACAAATCATAAGAAGTGGTAAGAAGGGGTAAATTTACATGAAGACGAGGACTCTATTTATAGAGTCTCAAAAGTTACATCTTGAATAAACAATAATAAAACTACTGACTTATGTGACCATGCAAGGTTCACTGGATAAACTAAAGCTAACACGCTAAGTTAGTTGACATAACAAAAGGTCTTCACTGCGGTAGCAGTAGTTGTGGTTCACTCAGGTTCAAAATAACATCTTCAACTGCGGTAGACAAACATCCGTTGCGGTGGAGAATTGATTGCGTTAGATAACTGAGATACGGTAGAGAAATAGGATTACAGATCGTTAAGATTTTAATAGGGTCACTTTTTGTTTTAAGACGGGCAATGCCCGATGTAGGTTATTATGTTTCCGGATTCCAATCTGATGTCGGGCGGTGCCCGAGGAATGTTTGTATGCTTGATGTCTTCGTGATTCTTGCATGTGCTTGTTTCATATGTTTCCGGACTTCGGTCTGATGTCGGGGAAAGCCCGAGGAATGTTTTTATGCTTCCGGATTTCGGTCCGATGCCGGGCGGGGCCCGAGGAATGTTTATATGTATATTTCTGAACTACAGTTCAATGTTGGGTGGTACCCGATGAAGGAATGCATGTTTAGTTATACTTGTTGTCTTTGTGATACTTGTATGTGCCTGGTAGGGAGGTGAGTGTGGGAGGGGTCCCGTATCTCATCACTAGCTGAGAGTGGATGGGGTTCCATATCTCATCATTAGCAGAGTAGGGGCGGGGCCCATGTTAGGCGAGGCCTTAGGATTGGAATATATAGTATTATGTATGATTCCTTATGTGCTAGCATGATTATATGTTATTGTCTGAATGTGTATAGCGGGCGGGGCTCAGAGATAGGCTGGGCCTGGAAGAAAGAAATTTGTATACCGAGTGGGGCTCGATGTCAGGCGGGGCCTGATGTCGGACGTTGTTCGATGTCGGGCGGGGCCCGAGGAAGGGGCGGGGGCCAAGTATATGTGATTATGTGTATGATATGTGGTAGTTTGGGGAGACTCACTAAGCTTCGTGCTTACAATTTTCAGTTTTGGTTTCAGGTATTTCCGGTAGCGATGGGAAGAGCTCGGGATGACTGCAGTGCACACACCATTTGTTTAGCCTGAGATGTTTTTACTCTGATATGTTGATATGAGTTTTGATGAGATACTCTGATTTGATACTTTGACTTATGCTTTTGGATGAAATGATTTTGATAATTATGGTTATTTTAATAAAATAAAAATGAAATTTTTGGTCATGGTTTTGGGATGTTACATATAGTCGCAAGGGGAATATTGTTCATCATCGTCATGGTGTTGGAGACAAAGGTTGTTGACGGATTGACCATACTAGGCAAGCATTGCTTTGGTTTTAACGATTGAGAAGAGGGTATCAGGAGGGAGAGAATGGCCTAATTTGGGGTAAGAACATATTCCACTTGGTTCGATTGAGGGTTCCATTTAAGGAAGATAGGCCACCGTATACGGTGACGTGGTCTAGCTTAAGTCCACGTATGTCAAGACACATCAACATGTAACCCGTAAACCAGATACTATTTCCCCCAAACCCCTAATTAGTCGGTATTTCCTAATGTTAACGACCAATTAAGCACAAAAAATATTGTAGTGACTAAATGTGTAAATTCGCCAAACTTTATTGTGTTACAGTGCCAAAAACCATTTTCATAATGCAATGCTATAATAACATTTTGAAATTATAATGTTCCGATAATAAAAGTATAATAAAAGTAAAAGTTATAATATGAAAAAGAAAATACATAGATTGCTATTTCTTTTATTTTAATAATCCCATATTCTTATTATTTTAAATTCAGATTATTAGAATATATATGGTTTCAAAACAAGTTCATATTACAACTTTAGATTAATACAAAACATGAACAAACTTCAGATTAGCACAAAGCATGAACAAACTTCAGCCTAGTGATTTGGGCCTAGAAGAGAAAGATGGAAGGTCTGGTAATTGCCAGATGTTTCTGACTTGACCGCATCATTTAAAGTCGTCTTGTATTTTTTATGATACTCAGCCTTTATATATTGCATATCAATCTCAGTCCTGGTCACAATCACCCTTATAAGCGTGGTGTCAGCAGTCCCTAAGCCTTTCATTGATTTATTTAGTAACTACAAACATTTTCAATTTCCATATCAGTATCATAAAGGGACATGAATATCATAATGTAACCTTGAATACAATTGGTTGAATAAAAAACTCACTTTAGCAAAATACTTTGCGGGGTTTTCAGCACATTGTAAGATTGTCAAAAGTGCGAGCTCAAATAACCCGGAAGTTTCACCTTTTATAGCCTACAAAAAGGCCAAGATTCAAGAATCACAAACACGTACCACTTTTGTTAGCAAAAATATTGGAACAAATTGAAATAGTAAAAATGTGTGTGGATTTTTATGAGAACCTTTTTGAGTGATCCTCCATACATGTCATGGTAAAATGAGTTTATAGCCACCAAATGTACTCTACTTCTCTCGCTAAAAATGTGCACAAACACCTTCTCATCGGTTCCTAACTTCTTTTCACCAGCTTTGTACAAAGCCTTGGCATCTTTTGCAGCCATTTCCCGATCAACTTCCATGCCTTCATAACGCGGTTTGCTTAAACAAGCCAGCAAAATCTACAAAAGAAATAAAATATTTAATCAAATAATGTCATTCCATCACTTGACAAAGTAAATGATACCATATCCGATGGTATACTTTGACAAATAGTCAAGGGCCACCATATGAGGTTTCAATTCCAATATGGATTGGACTTATTAATTATTATGGGTAGTATGCTATTATGTCAACCACCCATGTGAAAGTATACCTGATTTACATCTTATATAATGTTTCTGTCTAAGTCAGACCACTGGAAAAATAACCTTTTTTGCAAATGTATAGATTTGATAAATTGACTGTAAGAGTGCCAAAAACGCTACCTTTTCATGATGCCCTGTAGCTTGTAGTTCGATGTCACTTTCAAGATAAGTCCCGAAAGTTGAGTGGTAAATTTGCTTGAGAGTTTGTAACTGGGAAGAAGTTCTAGAACATATGACTTCGGTTACTGTTTCAAGATTGATATAATTTTTGGTCATTGCTTTCTTTAATATAGTGGCATCCCTTGTTGCTGGATCATGCATCCAAAGCGAAACTGCAATCTGTAACATATTTTTCTAAAGTCAAACTTAATATAATCCAAATTCGGAATTCTCTTTGTTTTTTAATGCTTTTAAGTCAAAATTGTAACATCAATCCAAATACATAATTTATATATTATTCTCATCATGTTTAACCTTAACTCATTAAGTCAATAACTACCGTATTTGACTATTAAAAGTCAAACTTGGCCTATGTACCTGTAAATTGCCACTAAGTTCAGAAGACAAACGTTTAAGAATGTCATCGGAATACAGCCTCCGGTATTCATGCAGGATATGAGCCCTTTGCGTTGCATCTCGATGAGCAAGAATGCTAATCACTTCCTCAGCATCACATCCAAATCCTGATTAAAGTCAACAAAAGTAAAATTGATGTTCATATACCAAGATCGAAGCCAAACATTCACGTTTTATAGCTAGAATCAGAAGAAAACGAAGAGGGTGCTGATAAGAACAAGATTTCGATAAGGTCATTATTCAAATCGAATCATCAATCTAACGAAGCAAAGAAAATGGGTGCAGTTGAGTTGAGTAATTGAAGGATGTACCTTTGAAAGCTTTATATAATCGAATGGCGTCGTCGTGGGGAGAAACAGGTGTCGGAGGAACTGTTAGAGTCGCCATTATCGATCGGTGTTTTGGAAAGATAAACAGAGAGTGAGTTCGGAGGGACAGAAACGGAGAAGTTAAATAGAGATAAAGAGGACTAGTTGAGTCATGGGTGTCTCTGTAATGGATTGCTTCAAAAGGGTCAAGATCAACTTCAGCAACTTGCCATAAGTAACAGTCAACAGTTATACTTTGTGAATTAATTTATTCCATTCTACTGGAGGAGACTTATTAAATTAATCAAAATGGAATAGTGGGAATATGAGATTCGTGGCTTTTGGATAAACGAATGTGC